TATAATATTTTGTACACATGTATACATATTATGTAAAAAAAAAAATAGGAAGTTCTTCTTCCGATGTTATCTGTTGCAGATTTTAGCCTACTTGTGTCAAATTCACTCATTTATTTTGCAACTAGTCTTTAAAATATTTTAGACACTTTGGAAAAAGCTTTTAATTTTGGCTAAATAATTGGGTTTTTTAAAACTATTTTTCACGAGGACATTAGCAAAATTAATATTTTCTGGCATAGGAAAAGGGTCAATTTACCTTAACAAATTATAAACGGTTTTAAAACCGTTTTGTTCGTATGCTTTTTATAACAGCTCTTGACAGTTTTTGATAATTTTTACCAAGTATTATTCAACTTGCACTTCATCTAATCGTAAACATTTTAGTATAGTTAGTTCTTTTTTCCAATAAATAATGTGATATTTATCACCAAACACCTTTATTATAATTCGATTTCAAAAAATAAACAACACTCTCATCTATAAGGTATATATAACTCATATATATATATATATATATATATATATATATATATATATATATATATATATATATATATATATATATATATATATATATATATATATATATAAACCTCATTTTTAAAATGCAAACACCATTAATATAATCATCCATGTCTCTGATATTTTATATTATTCCCAAGGAAGGTACGGTTTGGTCATTATTGTTAAAAGTTATAAATTTGGCTTTTGCATAAGTTGAGTAAGTGAACATAAGAAATTATTAAAGAGTATGACAAAAGGGAGGGCCATTCCGGGAATAAGACGTCATTAATTTGGTACATTTCTAAGCTTTATTCAGAAAACTCCAGATTTACTCATTTCTGTACTTAATTTCCCTTAGAAAATTTTGTCTACAGTCGTCACCCACTTCAATTTTTGGATATATTGTGTATCTAAAATTCTTCGTCGGCGATAGATACACTGTATATTTTCTGATCGAAAATTTTATTCAAAATTTATTGCAACTTTAAAAGAAAATACGGGAAAATGCACAGGTTTTGATGTCACACTAATCATTTAGAGGTCTTATTTGAAAAAATAAATAATTTTTATAACTGCATGGAATTTAAATTTTTCAGAATTAAAGGATAAATTTGAATGTCTTACATTACTTCTGAATTAAGAAAATACAGGAGCAGATGATGAGATAGTTTTGAAACTCTACTCTGTTCTTATTAATCCCACTGCAATTACAGGCATTGATCCTTCCTCTACTTTGATCACCGACCTTAAGGCGATCGCTGGAGATGACAGTAGATACTGGCAAGTGAGCTCACCGGCAGATCTATATCCTAAATTTAATGATATTCTACAAAAAATCGCTGTTTGTCCAACAACACCTCTCCCTGATCCCGTCACAGTAGGTAAGTACAAATATAAGAATGTACGACTTACATAATTAGATAATTGAATTAATTAAAGATATCTTTCCGTCCACCAAGAACAGGTCCTTAATTATATTACACATGTTCATTTTTGGCTATTTATATGCTTGCTTGTGAAAGGTACAGTTGTGAAGTGGGTCAAGTTTTTTTTCTAGTGGCACGGGGTAAGGCGTTAATTCGCGGGTTTGATTTCTACTGCGGTACTTGGCGAAAGTTTCCTCGAATGAGATCTTTTTAAATAGAGCTAAACATAAAGAGAAAAAAGGCAAAAGTTGTAATTAAATATAGAGATAACAAACATGATTCAAGCTCAAAAGACCATAAAACAAAACAAATTTGGAGCACAGCATACATGAACCTACAAACATCAGAGAGGGATCAGGTGCCATGCAGGAGTGAGCATCCCCTGCCGATCGGTCACATCCACCTTGTGATTCTTGTAATGATTGGGAAATAACGGGAAAATCCGTCGTCAATTCAGTGCGCTAATAATGGCGTTACAATTAATAGGAAAAACGTCTGTCCGGATTTCACTCAATGATAAATTGTATTCGCTGACAAGGTCATCGTATATACCATAGAACTTACAAAATGATGACTTTAAACGAGACTGTTGAAATTCTTTTTTCAATAACTTGTTTGTCAATAACTAACCTCGTGTTAGAAATTGTACTTACGTACGAATAATTAAGGGTAGTTGACGATTGAAATATAAATTATCTGAATAAAATTAATTCTCATTATCTTGAACAGTTAACGAAAACAACAACGTAAGGTTTCAATATATTTTTTCTAAAATATAGAAGTGATACAATAAATAAGAAAAATATCCTTTCTGAATCATAGGAATTTCATTCGCCCAGAATATACAAATCACATTTCTCATCTGAACTTCTAAACGGCTATTGTGACATTATGAGCTTGTGCATTTCCCTGTATTTCATGAAAAAGTTGCAGAATACATCAATTTTCAGTGGAATTTTTTTCAGATAATATATAGAGCACATGCATCTCAAATAAGAGAATTGTGGATTTTTAGAAGGATTTTATACAACATATTGGGTTTCTGAAAAATAAAGTGGGTGACAACTGTAGATACTGTTTTTAAAAGGAAGTAACCCTGAAATGAGTCATTTTGGGCTTTTTTAAAAGTTAATGAAGTCATATTTCCGGAATAGTCCTCCTTGTTATTTTCTTTCATGGTTTATCATATTTATAAACTAGATTAAAATTTTATCCAATTTCATAACAACTTAAAAACATTGAATTTCAAAAGCACAAACTTTTTCTTTTACTTAGAGAGATTGCAGGGATATAAAAGAAAGCATCTCCATATGTTTCACTGTAATTATCTATAATGTTCAGATACAAATTCGAAACCAATTTTTACTGCACTGATAGTGTTTAGGTTTCATTTAATTACGTTAAAGTTGTCGTGTATGTGGTTGTTTAACGTTAAAGTTGTCTTGTATAATGTTGTTTCTTGTGTGCAAATTTCAAACGACAAAGTTGCTTCCATTTATACAATGCCCACAATCCATTTTCATATCTTTTTCAGGCTGCAAACTGGACATTGCATTCATAATTGAACGCTATAACATGCGTTTTTCAAAAACGTTTTTGGCTGGATTAATGGAGGATATTCCAATATCTTCTGATGGGGTAAGAGTGGGGTTTGTCACATATGATTCTGTGGCATCAAAAGAGTTTGGGCTCATGACTTACACAAGCTCTGAATCTGCAAGGGGAGCAATCGAAAATGTGCCCGACAGGACTAGCTCTTATCACTTTGCATACAAAGGATTAATTACAGCTCGGGACAGCGTGTTTACAGCTCTTGATGATCGAGAGGATGCCAATAACCATTACGTTTTTGTTGTGGGACCATTTTACAGTGAAACTGCTGCTGTGTCGCGCGAAATCAGGGCCAGTGGGAATAATTTTGTCTTTGCAGCTCGTAAGTTTCTACTAACTGTAGAGTTTGTGGACAATAAATAGAATTATTAAAATAATAAGTGATTACTAAAAGTTTCATTATTGCAGATATCGGTTCATCTTTTCAATCCGAATACCAGGAATCTGTTGATTCTTGTGGTAACTACACGAGATACACAAATGCTGATTCATATGATAACCTGATGAGCATCAGACAACAGTTTATAGAGAAAATTACTTCATGTGAAGCAATCATTGGAAGAACTCAAGGTATTTCTCTCTTACTTTTAATATTTTTTAAAAATAAAATTAAAAAAGAAGCGTATCAATGTCACATAATACATACATGTAGTATATTTCTTTAAAGTAAGTAATTTCAACTTTAAAATTGGCAATTCAAACATTAAATTAACTTTGCATTTACATCTTCAAAGTTAGTGATTCAAATTTTACAGCTGGTATTTTTTTTAATTTTAAGTTGATATTTCCATTTCCAGCTTAAAGGAATATGTATGTACAATGTAATTCAAAATTAAATCTTGGCTTTCCATTTTAAAAGTTGTTATTTAAAGATTTAACCTTTTCCATTATTTTTAACTTTATGAATAGAAAATAATTACAATAAAATACATTGATGAGCATTAAAACTGTGTCAGTTATTTTCACCTTGACCTTCCCTTGACCTAACATATGAATTTCAAATGATAATTTTAAACCCTTGTATTTTTGGTTAATCTTAATAGTATATAATTATACAGAAAAATAACTTAAAGGACATACGCAAGGTACCTTATCTACTGATAATTTTTTAAAGATATTCTAAATTTAAACTTATAATACCATTACATTTTCTTAGACAAAAAAATTAGCATGCGTTACCAGGGGTTTAAAATGTACAAAATTTAATGTCACAAAAGGGTCCAGTCTTGTATTCTAACATATTTCAAGTTGAAGAGTACACATTGTATTTCCTACAAATATACATCAACTATTACTTCCAAACTTTATAATTGCAAAAACACATGGCCTGGATATAGAGTATCTGAAACATTATCTATAACGTGTTTATGTTCTTTTTCACCCTAAAACTATAGTCCTGCTGGACACGTTATTACAGTGAAACACATGGAGATAACGAACAGTATTCAAGGTCAAAGTCTATAAAACAAAACAAATTAGGATTAGAACAAACATCGACCTCCAAAACATCAGAGGTGGGATCAGTGGCCATTGAGGAGTGAGCATCCCCTACCTGAGCATCATGTGCTCCTTGTCATGATCGAAGAATAACAGGAAAATCTGTTGTCAATTCAGTGTACAAATAATAGAATAACAATTAATATGAAAAAGTCAGTCGACATTTGACTTAGTTGTAAATTATATTTGCTGACAAGGTCATTGTATGGAACATAGAACTTACGAAATGATGACTTTAAACGAGATACTTTACCTCGTTTTACAAATTGTTCATACATAGAGAATGCTCTTGCGTATCGAATCAACTGAGATACATAAACTACGTATACAGGTGATAAAGGTATATTGCTGCATAAGTACACATGTAAGGGAAGTTGACGTTAAATAACTTAGAGTCATCACGTTGATCATATAGCTTGGTTGTTAGATTACCATTACATCTTTTTCAAGTAAGATATTCAAATATAAAAAAAGATTTTTCAGACTCTGTGGTATCTTTTATCTAAAGTTCACCAGGTCATATCGTGTCGACAAAAGAATAAAAATTACAATTGTAAATTAACGTCGACGTCGTCTATATATTTAAATGTCGAGTTGATGGCCACAGCAAGTGTTTCTTCTTTAGATGCATTCGATTTTGCACCAATTCTGCTTCATATTAATACAAAAAAGGTCTGCTAATAAAGGTGACTAAAATGATGAGGACCTTAAAAAACAGATCAAGTATTGTCAAAGGCCCTGAATATAGGGAATCCCGATCTTTCAACAACTGGCGTCGAAATTTCATAGTTACATATATTATGGATTCTGTAGAAGATTACGCCTGGCAATGGGCCAGATATGAAAAAGAAGACGTTGACACTTGTCAGAATAGATTAAATTTATCAGATCTATGTTGAAATCGCGTATTAAAAAAATTGATAGGCAATATGAAAGCCACTTCTGTATTCAATAATTTAGAGGTGGAAAAAAGAATTAAATAGATTACATGAACAGTATGAAATTGTATTTTAGAAGAACAAGGATTTAATTCTTCAAGTGGTAATCCAACTTATACTCAAAGATCTCTTTTAAAGAATTTTTTTTTTCAAAATCATATGTTAGTTTTGAATATATTTAATATAACCAATATGAATTTGAACTAATATATATATATATATATTCAAGAATTGTGTAAATCAGATGTGGATACTTAAAAATTCAAAATAACTTTTTGAAAAATTTGATATAAAAAATTTATACAAAATCAACAGCTTAAGAAACTTACAACTTTTAAACTTTATGCACAAAAATTCTCCATGATGAATTAAAGTGCAGGCTTTTTCTTACATTATTGAGAAATGATGTTTCAATAAAGATGGAACCCGTAAATTAACATACTTAAAGCCGCTTCATCCGAAACAGGCACATATTATCTTAAACAATAAAAGTATGTCATTACATAGATAATCTATAAAAATTAATTATAAGATTGATTTAATAGCTTAATTACAACAATCCTTACATGGAAAACATAGAACAAAAACCATGTTTACAAACAGCAGTTCCTGACGGGAAGTTAAGATCTGTTTTGAAGTCACCTTCGAAAAAAATTGGTTATATCTAATTATGAAGATAATTCAAACCCGAGTATATTTTTTTTCCATTAGTAGAATCCTAAGTCATGATATATCTTTTAAAAATTAAGAAATTAACTGAATATAATCCATAGCAATTTTTATATTAATATGCATATTCACAGAATAAAGGAAAATCAGATATTTTTAAAGATTTTTTAAAAAGGGAGTTTAGTAACGAGGGCTAGAATATTGCCCGTGTACACTTTGTTGCGGAAAAAATGCTCGGGTTTGTTCTTCATGAGTTATACATGTAAGCGATAAATTTAATTTTTCGATGGTGATTTCACGCAAAGTAAACAAAGGATTTTTTTTCGTATTTTGGCCTAACTAACAAAAAAATATTTTTTTTAACTTTTGAATTTTGATATCTTTAAAAAGAAAAAGACTTTGGGGATATAATTTGACAAAAGTTGAAATAATTTATGGACAATTATTTTTCAAGAAGAAAAACGAATATCTTTTTTTAGCGATTAGAATCGGACCAAGCGGCTTTAACATTTACTTAATGTACCATGTCATTGATCTTATGCAAAATTATTTTGTTTAAAATATTCTGATTGTACACACAAGTTTTTTGAAGTTGACATTAAAAGGTGATTGAGTTTCTGATTGACAATATCCATTTGGTTTTTGGAGACAAGATTTTCCAACAATCTATTGGAATTCCCATGGGCACCAATTGCTCAGCGTTATAAGCAGATCAATTTGTATATTTATATGAAGCAGAATTTGTGCAAAAAATTATGCTTGAAAAGAAAAAATACACTTGCTGTGGCCTTCAATTCAACATTAAGATATATCGATGACGTATTGTCAAGTAACAATAGAATTTTCATTCTGTATGATAAAATTGATGACTAACTTTTCTATCGTCAACATCCCTTACTGATGCAGCAATATACCTTTATCACCTGCATGCGGAGTTTATTATATCTAAGCTGTTTGAAGTCATAATTTCGTAAATTCTATGGTCGATATGACTTTGTCAGCGAATACAATTTTTCATGGAGTCAAATGCAGATGAAGTTTTTCTACTAATTTTTACGCCATTAGATGTATCCATACACTGCATTTTCCGTTATTTCCCGGTCATGACAAGGAACACACAGCGGGTGTGACCGGTCAGCAGGGGATGCCCATTCCTCTATGGCACCTGATCCCACCTCTAATGTTTCGGAGGTCCGTGTTTGCTCTGCTCCTAGTTTGTATTGCTTAATGGATTTTAGAGCTCGAATATTGTTCGTTATGACAAAATATTTCATGTTTCGTGTGTTTCAATATACATTTTCTGTATACACCAATTATTTTAAAAATTATTGCAAAAATGTATTTATGTATTTTTGATATCCAAGGTTGCTAGAATTAGATACTACTGTTTCAATAACACGTGGCTTAATTGTTTTACAGATTGTAAAATCGACATGGCTTTCATTATTGATGATACAGACGCAGTCACTGCCTCTAAGTTCCAGGAAATGAAAACCTTTTTAGTCAGCCTTGTCACTAAAATGGTTATTGGCGATAATGCGATAAAAGTAGGGGTTGTGACGTATGGTAACGGAGCAGACATTGCTTTTACGCTGAAACAATATCCTACAGTAGATGAACTGATAACAGCTATAGGAAACATAGCCCCAGGAAGCACGGCTTACAGCAGAAGTCGTCGCTCTGTTGATAAAGCCATTCTTCACACATTATGGTATTTCTTCACTAAGACGAACGGTGACCGTCCGGATGCTAGAAACTTTTACGTTGTTGTTACCTACGGAGGATCTTATCAATTTAAGGATGCGGCCTATTGGGAAGCATTACACTACAATTTCCTAATTGACCTGTTTATCCTTGGTTAGTCAACAAGGAATAATTAATCCCTCTAGACACTTAATCCCGTGTCTGATTTTTGCAGCTAAGGGTTCATCCATCTGCCCTTTTCACCATTTTTGTTTGCAGATGGATCTGTGAAATCTTCCTTTTATAAATATGTATTAAATGATTAAATGCCTATAATCAGTATTGTGTTCAAATTTAACAATGCAATATAAAAACTGATCAAAAGACAATTATTGTCTTGAATAATTGTTCTGCAAATTTTATGCATTTCTGAAGTATTATAACATAAACATTAAACAAAACTTAAAACTCTTGCTTAAAGGAGTTAGTGTTCCAGCAAGCTATGACCCGGACTTTGAGGGAGCAGTTAGTGAAGGAAGATATATAAAAACCGACGACTTTAAAGGACTGTCATGTAACAGCGAAGTGGTCATCTCTAATATCACTCATTGTCATACAGAAGAAGCACCTACTCTTGCTCCACCAAGTAAGGTTCATTTGTTAAATCAAGAAAAAAATATTTCGATCTCCGATTCCTTGAAAAAATATTGACGATTCATAAAAAAAAAACTTCAAAGGGCTTCAAGATGAATTTGATTATTTTGGAATTTTAATCAACAAAATGTGCAGAAACACAATCATCCTCATGATAAGAATAACCTTGCATTGTGTTTGTTTAATATTTGGGCTGTAGATAGAGGTATTCTGCCTTTACGTCATTCAAGTCGATCATCCCACTCTTCAATCTCGTCTGAATTTTATTAAAGTAAAGTTGCATAGGGAATATTTTTTAAAGTTTTACTTTGAATTGAAAACACATCTTGAATAAATTTCCCCTACCCTTTCGTATTCTTACTTTCTGTATATTTAATTATTAGTGTCAAAATAAAAACTAGACCAATGAACAATGATCTAGTTAGACATTGTGTCATTGCTAGAACATTATTTATACAGAGAAAAATGACACAAAACTCAATATAGAATTTATATTTATTTATTGTGGCGAGTATTGCCCGTGGCACAATACAAAATTGTGGGACGCCATTTCAATTGGGCGAACCCACCAAATTCAAACATCAACAATGTGTGTTTTTTTTTCTAACCGTCCAGGGTTAACCGCGGAGGGTCAGCACACATACAAACTGTTCAAATCAATCAATCAATCAATCATTCAATCAATCAATAAGTCATATCTCAAATTCCAAATATCAAGCATATCAACCTATTTTATCAAATCGTGTATATCATATATCATTAATATCTCAAAATTCATAGATCAAACATCTCAAACTTCAAATATCAACATTTTTCATATTTCAAACCTGTACGATGTAGTACAGTTCTAAAGTATATATTACTGTCACCAAGAGTAAGCTAATTAGCTTAGTTTACACTAGCATTAGCATTTCAACAAGGTGACAGTTTATTACAAGTTTCACACAAACATTCATTTATCAGTTGACTTGGTGTGCGCAGACGCCACATGGCTGCAAGTTGGCACAGCTTGCAGTCACCCCACACATTGGGGGGGAAGCAAAGCAAGTCAACTGGACCACGACCAATACTGCCAAGACCCCCTTCCCAGCTAGATTCTTGCACACATCTTGATTCCTAGATGTGCATATCCTTCAGCAGACTTAGACTAAAGTATTTTGAATTTCCCGTAATTTAGAAAAGGTTTTACAACACATAAGGCAATCAAATCTTACCAAATGTGATGTATCTCACCTAATTCCTCAATGCCTAATAAAGCTTTGTCTTATAGAAACTACCTGTCTATTAATTCCTTCTAAATGTCTGAGTAACCTTGCAATGCTCTTTACCACCATAAATTTTCGTTTCTTCATTATTCAAGGCAAGTTAGATGTAAATGGTTGTAGTTAATCAAAATTAAAGATCTGGGGTTTTTTTGTTTTTGTTTTTGTTTTTTTTTTTTTAAACCAAATAGGGGGAGTTTCACTCAAGAGAACTACCTATATCATAATTCCTGTTTAAAAATTGCTAGGAAAGCCATGTCCTGCCGTTTGAAAAAACCAAATTTTATATCTCCTAAGGCGACTCATTCACTCTCTAATTAGCCAATTTAAGCAGAGCACTTTGAAATTCTTAATCATATTCAATTACAAGAAGGTACAACACTATTTAGTGATGGTTACAAATGCCTGTAAAAGACAATACTATCATTTTGGAAGCATACTGGTCTTGTTAAATGATATTCCTATAAAAGATACATTAGCTGAAACATGTAACAAATTTACTAGTATTCCAATTTGTATATCATACTTACCAGTCAAGCTGCCAGGAAGATATTTGGCACCTTATAGATGCCATTTTCAAACTAGGATTTTTTGGCTGCAATTTCATTACCCATGCTTGCAATACTTGTGTACTTGACTAATCTTATGTATGTGCTAATTGACTAAGTCCCTTCCCTCTTACATAGATTCTTTCAATAAATATTATTGATGCCTGTGATACATGTATGTGCATCTGAGCTCTACAGCTCTTTATGACCACATTCTTCCACTGTGTAGCCCAAAATGCAAAGCAAAGTCTAAAATTCTTAAAGGTATAGATGTTTGTTTATTAATTACATCAAATAGTAATATTTTATTTTATTTATTTATTTATTTATTATATGCAATGAGCCTGAATACACGTATTACATGTACTGCTATCAATGTGTGCTTGATCCTTCTTAATAGTATTTTGATTAAAAAACATACACCAAGTGAAATTCGTTTTAACTGCAAGCCCAAGGGACAATGCGCAGTCCTAAGTTTTAAAGTCCGCATAATAAGAACAGAGTTACAAAATAAAAGCACCCTGTGCGGAACTTTAATAGCCCGAACATCTTAAAAATGAAGTCAAATGCACATTCAAGGTTGAGCAATCTGTATAAAAATCAAAAAACATTTAAACTTTCTGTGAGAACTCTTTTGAAAATTAATTGATACATTGTTAGGGATTTAAGGAACTTGCCTAATTGTGTCACTTCTTGTTTGTAAATATAACCAAATAATTTAAATAAGTTTATTTGCAACATACATTATGTTGCATGTCCTATAACTTAACTTGGATTCTAGAAGTAATTGTAATTTAACTTAGTATTTCCAACACTGTTATCTTAAGTAACCTGAACTGAATCTGGAAGGTCATGTCTACCTACATCTCAAATATCCAATATCTCTACTGAAAGCTTTTCCGAATCCCAAAAGTTTAAGAAAATGAGATTTGACTATTTCTTTTTTGCTTTAATTATTAAAAACCAAAATATATTCATTTATAAATGGTTACAAAACATTCTTGACATTTCTTGGATTACATGTTGCAATTTCCAACCTTTCATTTTCACTTTATTGGATCAAAACAAAACTATCCTAATAATTCCAGTCTTAGGCAATGGATGGTTTATGGTTATATATAAGTATCTTGTATTTTCCTTTTCATTCAAGAATTAGTATAAATTGATACATTATGCTGTTTAACAATGAAGATGCCCCCCCCCCCCACCCCTTCTCATTTTCACCTTTGTATTACTATATTTCAATGACCATTTTGTTTCCAATTGAATAACTAGCAAATAGAATCAATGACCAGAAAGCTCCAACAAATACAGACTTGAGAAAGGCATTTTCCAGAGGATCATTGCTCCCCGACCCCAAATTTAAATCTCTTTTCTTCTTGAAGTCAACTATAATGAGTAGGATGCCCAATTTCAGTGTAAATCTATAAAATTTATGATATGCAATTGATCTTATCACTTGCCTTATAAATATCAGGGGCTTTCACAACATTAGATAGTAATATTTTATACAAAGAACTAAACTCTAGGAAAATTGGGTGCATTTAAATAGCTATCACAAAACTACTCTGGAAAAAGATATGAACTTCATTCTCCTTTTTATTTACATTCATCACAAACTTGAGATATATATTATGTCAGCCTGAAAAATGTTGGCATTAATGCCTAATAGTTTTGGGCCATGTTGAAGTGCCTAACAGTTCTGAGTCATGCTGTAAGTAATGCCTAATAATTCTGAGCCATGTTGTAAGTAAGGCCTAACAATAGTTCTGAGCCAGGTTGAGCCATGTTGTTAGTTATTCCTAGTAGTTTTCAGATATATTGTAGTTAATGCCTAATTGTTCTGAGCAATGTTGCATGTAATGTCCAATAGTTTGGGTCGCATAAAGCCATGTTGTAAGTTATGCCTAGTAGTTTTCAGACAGGTTGTCATAATGTCTAATTGTTCTGAGCCATATTTTAGATAATGCCTTAAGCCAAAAAGTTCTAAGCCATGCTTTACGTAATGCCTAATATTCCTTGGATTTAAGGAGGCTGGGGGGTCAACAATTTAACCACAAAGTAACCACCAGATTTAACTTATTTTTTTAGATATGGTATCTTAAGCTGTCAACATTCATTTGACAAAGAAAAAATTCATAAATTTTAGTTTTAAATTTTGATCCTTTTCTATATATTTATATGGAGCTCTCCTTTTAAAGGAGATAGAAATAGTCTGAAAATGGCTGCCACCCCCCAGCCTCGTTAAAAGACTCACCAAGTTCTATTCCTACAATCAAACAAAACGTTGCAACTGTTTACATTACATACCTGAATATCTATAAAAGAAAAATTGAATATAATCTCACAAATAGAAATTTAATGAAAATGTGCAATGGGTCTGAAACATTCTTCTTATGTTACATATAAAAATTAAGCTGCTGTATTATCTGCACCTAACATAACAAGAGCATATCAAAACAATCTATTGGGTTATTTTGACCATAGTTTTAAACAAATTTCAGGCAACTCCAAGTCCTTATTTTGAGAGATATCAATTTAAAATTTTATGATTTGAATGTAGATCTGCAGCTATTTTGGCAACTGCAAGTCCTTATTTTGAGAGATATCAATTTAAAATTTTATGATTTGAATGTAGATCTGCAGCTATTTTGGGAAATTATTTTTTTGCAACCTAATTTGTAAGATTTACTGGTTGTTATATCTAATTTCATTTTGTTTGCCGCTTGATTTCTGGTACTTAGTTTTTTTCCAGTTAGCCCCCCTCTTCTCTTTTAAAATTCTTTTTCAATTTTTTTTAAATTTCTCCCTCTAATCTTGAAAGTTAACATTTCTTAAACAAATAGTTATAGAAGCAACATCAAAAGCTATGCTGGCAGACTTTGCTTATAATTTGGTGTCAATTTACAGTGGAAAAGACAATTCAAGTATACATGTATACACACTCAACTAATTAATGCCATACAAAGGTGATTGATGTACCTGATATACTGGACTGTTAATCTGTGATTATAATTATTTCAATGTCTGGTTTTCCAAACGATTTGAAAATAAATTTCCAATGCCTTTCGTTGACTTGTAGTCTTGTATTTGGATCCATGTCCACGAGAAGCTCCGACCGAGTTTCCTTATTGTTGTTCACATGCAGAGGGCCTATTCTAGTTTGCTTTTGCCGGGTTTCGAAGCAGTATGAAACAAAAAGAGAGTTATTAATGTTAATAACCAACATTACATCATTGTAAAACAATACAAAGGTATAAGTAAACGATTTTTTAGTATAACCGCGTGGGCGTCGTCTGCTTTGTAAAGTGTTTAAATCCAATCTCATCCGTCATAATTAATGCACATCAATAGTAATAACAGCCTTAAAATGGTTGAGAACAATGCATAAATGAAAAAATATACAAATTTTAAAGTTACAAAGCAAAATTTCATGTATTTTATTGCAAGCAATTGTTATGCGTCTTTACCTTCGAAAGGTTCAGGAGAAAGGAATGTGAAGATCAAACCCGACCTTTTATATACTACAGTTGATGTGTCAACCAAACCCGACCTTTAAAAGCCAGCGTTCAAATAACAAATGCTCGGGACCTATAAACTAATTTAAAGGTCCCTTCAAATATACTTTCCTCGTAAAATAAAGGCATCTATTTTGTATACACAAATAGATGCTATTAATTCCGAATGAATAAATACGTCTACATTCTGACTGAAATGTTCAGATTTTACATTTCCTTCAATCACAGGGGAATGTGACATATATGTAAAATTTGCTAGTTTCCTCAGGAAAAGTCAACCTTTTAATGAATTTCTAATGTTTCAAATTATCTCCACATTTTTAGGCTGCAAGCTGGATATCGTGTTTATCATTGAAAACTACAAAATGCACTATACAAAGAGGTTTATTACGGAGTTGTTGGAGGAAGTCCCCGTTTCTTCTGATGGTATAAGGGTAGGTCTCGTCACATACGATTCCACTGCATCAAAACAATTTGGACTACTTTCTTACTCGACATCCCAGAACGCGATTGCAGGAATAGAAGGAGTAACAGAAATAACGGGTTCGGATCATCTTGTATACCAAGGGTTAATTGAGGCCCGGGATAATGTGTTCACTTCCGCTGGGGGTGATCGAGAAGACTCAAATAACTACTATGTCTTCATAGTTGGACCATTTGATAGTAATACAGCCCCTACTGCAAGAGACATACGGAGTAGTGGAAACAATTATATATATGCTGTCCGTAAGTATATATATTTGTGGCTAATTTTAAAAATGCATGGAACATTTATAGGCACTGTTCATTACATAGTGATATCATCTTAACCAATTGATAGATGTTGGTGGAACCTACCAAACTGAATATCAAGAGTGCGTTGATTCATGTGGAAACTATACACGGTACACCGACATTGCAGAATATGACGATCTACTCACCATTAGACAGCAAATTGTGGCGAATATCACTTCATGTGAAGAAATCAAAGATATAACACAAGGTATATTCATTTGCTTGATATATACACTGTACATTTCTATACCGAAGGTAAATTAAGTTTTGCATATTGCTAAATATCTATTTTTTCTCTATTCAAATCAGCATTAATTAAATCTGTTGAATATAAATGTACAACAATTTGCTTATCGGACATTTTCAGATTGTAAAATCGACATGGCTTTCATAATTGATGATACTGACACCGTCAGCGCCTCTAAGTTTCAGGAAGTAAAAACCTTTCTTGTCAGTCTTGTAAACAAAATGTTAATTGGTGATAATGCGATCAAAGTAGGGATTGTGACGTATGGTGACGGAGCTGCGACCAGTTTTCCACTCAAGCAATATTCAACTGCATCAGATGTGATGAGTGCTACTAAAAATCTCGCCCAAGGAAATTTAGCTTATAGTAGAACTCTGCGCTGTTTAGAAAAAGCCATCTCATACACTCAGTATGACTTCTTTACTAAAGAAAATGGAGACCGTGCGGATGCAATTAATTTCTATGTCGTACTTACGTACGGGGGAACTTATGGATCCAATTTTACAGAATATATATCAGCATTACAGTGCAATACCTCGATCGATATTTTTATATTTGGTAATTTTTTTTTTTTATTTTATTTTCCTTGTTTGTGAAAAACTTCATTTAATCACTTCATATTGCCAATTTTCATCAAGAGTTGTACATTTTTTCACATAAATGCGTGTAAATATTTCCCTTATCAATTTGCTAGAAAATTCAAAACAAAATTCTTAATTTTTTTTGCAATTCATGTTATTTCCTATCTGTACTTTTGTAGGCATATTGTTTTTTAGGTGTTAATATAAATTCCATTGACGACGCAGACTATCAGGGGGCTGTCAGCCAGGGGAGATACAAGAAGGCTACCAGCTTCACCGCCCATGAATGTGACAGTACCGTGTTCACCACCATCACTCAATGTCAAGGACTGGCCTCTACCCCTACCACTTGTACAACCGCTACTTCAGATATAACTACAGATTCATCTACTACCCATGCTGGTACTACTACAAATACCATTTCAGAGGGGTCCAGCTTCCACCATTCTTTATCATATGAAGTGATTTCTTTTTTAAAAATTCAATTTTATGAGTATTTTAAACCATCGTTCAATCAGATCTTTTCTAAAATCTGTACAGTGTAAAGCTTTTAAAAATTTAAAGAAACAGAATATACGAAGTTTTTCTTTCACTTTACATCTTCAAATTTCTGAAACTAATATTTGAAAATGTAAAATACATAGCAACTTACGCACCGTTGACGTTAAATGTTTCTTAATATGATAAAACCTATTTTTATTTTTATAGAGGAAAGGAAGAATGTCTGTCTGAGAAATTCAATATTGTTATTTTTTTTTTGCATTATTGCTGAAAAATTCGTAAATATGAAGTCTTCTCACACTCCTTTTTATGATAAAATATTCATTTTTAAATTGCAAGGTGTATTTACAGCTGTATATTGAAAGAATTAAGAATTAAAAATTGTTCACAAAAATCGATTTTTATGATGTTTTCTAAAATAGATGTAAAATATATATATATATATATATATATATATATATATATATATATATATATATATATATATATATATATATATATATATATATATATATATATAAATATATTATGGAATTGAAATTCATCATGAATTTTTTTAACAGCTAATAGCACTTCTGATGAGAAGAAGCGGAGTTCTGTCGTGAATTGGACCATTATCATCATTATCATCCAAATCACAGTCCTGGTTCTAGGAAGCGCCATATTTGCATTTGTGTGTAAAAGATGCAATAAAGGTAAATCAATGCCATTTAAGAAATTTATTTAGAATGGAAGGTAAAAAGCTGAGTGCCTGCATTTATTGAAACCTCACACCAAAGACACTGAACAACTTTATCTAATATCATTAGATTACCGAAAATTATACATACCTTAAAAGGTAATAATATTTTTGCGAATGAATTGCCAGCTCACTTGAGTCGAAGGCTCTATGTTAAAATCAAAATTTTTCGCTGTTGACATCGTTATGTTAAACATTTTTGACATTTTCATCTACTTCATCAGAAGCACTTGGTAAACTTGGCCAAGTTTTGTTAAAACTTATTATTTAACTTAAGATGTACAAGGTATTAAAAAAAAAAATAAGTAATGACACAATATACTTTCATTCTTAATAGATTTTTTTTTAATTTTTCATTGTTGTTTTTCATGTTCCGTAAACATTTAAACGTAGTTTTCTAGAAGTGGGTGTGGACATTGTTTTGATATGCAGATGCAAAGAAATGTCCGTGGAAATGAATTTTAATTTAGAATAAACAATTTCTTTGAATATATTTCATCCTTTTTTACTGTAAATCTCTTTCCAGTGCCGTGCACTACATGTACTATTATTACTACTACTTCTACTACTATTTCTACTTCTACTTCTACTACTACTACTACTACTCTCTCTCTCTCTCTCTCTCTCTCTCTTGTTACACAAATATCCATTTGAGCACAGCATATATAATCTCATTATGGTAAAGACTTTTCATAATTTTAACAATAGCATAAACACCTTATTAATTTTGCTTCAGGTGGACGGATTGATAAAAGGTAATTGGAATATGGTTGAATGTCAACTGTATATCACATAAAAGTACTAGTGCTTCTATAACTACAACCACTAGTACTTCCAATACTAACACCGATCATAAAAATCTAACTATTTTGTCAAATTAAAGTGCATTATCTATTAATTCAAAGCATTAAATTAAATGTAGTATTTTATTTTATTTTAAAAATTCTACATTAATTCCATATGCTGTCTGTAATAGGACACTTTTATAAAAACTTTAAAAGTGTCATCAAAGGGTACAAAAAAATATACAAATAAAATGATAACTTAACCATTCCCTTATAATGGTTTAGAAATCACAACTTTCGTAAGCAAAGAATTCTGCGATTGGACATTTGATTAAAAAAAGAGTCACACCGTAAAATAAATTCATGTTGTTGGTATATCTAAGAATTAATTTATAAATTTCCTTCTTGAAAAAAATTAATCTAGAAAAGATAAACTGAATGCAATACATTAATTCTGAACACATATAAAAGGTTAGATAGGAACCTAACAACTTTTCGTGTAAGGAAGCACTATTCCACATACTGTTTTGTAGAACGGCAACAGTCTCCCACTATGACAATGTTGAAGATCTTGATCATGTACATGGATCTATAGTAACAGACAAAGGTTGGTAGATTTGTTTTAGAATGTTGGCATTTGATTATACCAAAATTCAACGAACATGTATAATGCCACTGTAGCCAGATTTCTCAGTCGCAAAAAAAATTATCCATTTCAGTCAAAATGAAAAAAACAAAAACAAATTACTTTAGTAAGCATGTCGAAAGGTAAATTGTTTGAATTATATATGATGTGCGTTTTCTGTAATTTTATTAACCTGTACCAATCATTGTCGTTGAATTACAACTACATCCGTAAGAAATTACATTTTTGTAAAAAAATTGAAGCATTTACCCTAGTGAAGTTGTTTTTTCTTTTTCCAGGAAAAAATGATACAAGGTAGAGTAATTGTGATTGAAACATAATAAAAATTGTGTTTTAATCTACCTAACCCTGAATTAATCTGAATAACTTTTTAATTGAATTATTTGGATTTCATTTTTAAATTTTATTTTAAAAGAATAAACTTTTATTAAAAACCTTCCAATCAAATACTTTGAAAATATTATTTTTGGACTTTAAAAAAAAAATGTCGCTAAATGTATCAGTGTCTTATTGCACTAAATGTTAATAAATCCGTGCGAATGTTAAGAAAAAGAATTTCATTCTTCAGTTTAAAAAACTGCATAGTTTAATTAAATTTCTTAAATAAAACTAAATGGAAACTAAATGGATATGCTAATGAAATCAAAAATGATAAATATATTATTTGTATAATCTAAATTTCTCTTTAGACAAAGTGAAGAAATCTCCCAGATGAAAGAAGATAGTAAATACAAAGATCCTAAGAAGAGAGGTAATGCGTAGTACATTAATTATTGATATAACAGATAGAATTTTTCATTTACCCAGAGTACATGGTTTGCAGAGTTAATCATTTCAACCTTCTATTATAGGTTCCAGCACTTCAAATGCAGCAGTTTCGAAGCGGAAAATGCCATGAAATTACTTAATATCAAAGAATAAAATTGTGGTGGCTACAAGATAGGTCTGTTAGTGACTTTAAAAATTAAGGCACAGGCTGGCACCTTATCAGAAAAAAGATAGCTGTCAAAGTGACAAAGAAAACACAGGGCATGGACATTGCTAACTTTAAAACTTCTCGAAGAATAATTGAAAATATTGATAGTTCAGGAATTCGACGATCGCCAATTCAATGTAAAATGATCGCCAATATCTTGAGAGAAATTTTTAGGCATTTTGGAGTCGCCGTAGTTGTCAATTTTAATTATTCCGATTTCTGAGAGAGATAGTGTTCATGTTTACGATTGAAATATTTCTCTGGGTGCTTAATTTGTGTAGAGAAGAGGTTTTGAGAGCTGGGGGTTGGGTCGTAAGCACCGGCTTAACACCGAATGAATAAAGACTTAAGAAAAATGTAAAGGCAAATACAAATACTAAAAGCTGTTTTGAATCAAAAGTTTCTTTGTTATCTTCGTATATCTCTATAATGTACCATTCATTTGATGTGATACACATGTTTGTTGATTATATTTATGATTGTCCTTATAAGAATGTTGTTTTTTAAATAATTTGATTTAATTATACCATTTTATATATATTTATTCTTTGCACATATATTTAAAATTGAATGATATTCAATATGAAACAATATTAAAACACATAGATACCACATAGTCTGACACATCTGTTTCATATTTGGATATTTTGCTTGAAAAGGTGTTAAAAGGTGCATGGACACAGATTTAAAATTTTCTGTACATGTATAATATTACGACTTAATATATTTTAATAACATTTTACACATAAAAATATTTAAAGTCATGATTCATCTAAAAGTTATTAAAACTTCAAATTTTTAGACCGGTTTGATCGACACATCCTAAGGGGCTTGCAATTTCACAAATTTTATTTTTATTCTTAATACTTAGGAAAAATGGCAATCTTGTTGTGTATAAATAAAAAATATTAAAACCATACTGTATACGGACATAATTTACAATACACACATACGATGAAAAATAAATTTATAAGTCTATCACAATTTTACAATGGTTTTCGTTATGTTTTCCTTTTCAGACGATAATGGTTATCTAACAACTAAGATCTATGATAAACGTGATGACTTTAACTTTTCTATCGTCAACATCCCTTAGTTATGCAAAGTTGTACGTTCATCACCTGCATACAGAGTTTATATCTCAGTTGATGCGGTACGCAAGAACATGCTCTACGTTTGAACAATTTTTAGATCTAGGTAACTTATTTACAAACAAGTTGATGAAACAAGAATATCAGCTGTCTCGTCTAAAGTCATCATTTCGTTTTATGGTCGATGATACAATTTATCATTGAGTTAAATGCTGACTGACGTTTTTCATACTAATTGTAAGTCCATTATATACACTGAATTAACGACGGATTTTCCACTTATTTCCGAATCATGTCAAGGAGCACAAGAAGTTTGTAAGTACAGCCCTAAATTTTATAAATAAGATTAAACAAAGTCACGAAATTTGCAAGTTTTCCATTAATTTTTTTGCTAAAACATCGTTTCATACATGTACACCGTAATGATAATTCTTTCTATTGAAATTCAAGAAATTCTCTTACTCAGAAGGGAAGTTACAGGAGCTGGGTGTAAAGACGAATAATGACCCCCATCGAATAATGACCAGGGATAATTTTTTCGACGACAAAAAAAAAACCCAACCCGTAGAAAAATGTTTTTTTTTGTAGAAAAGGGGTGGAATAAAACAAGATTTAAACTAGAGGTACTGTGAGTACTGAGTCCACTAAGTGATACTAGTTCCCCCGTCTCCCATATGATTATAATGACAAAGTCCATGTTTAGCTCTGGGGAACACGAAGTTAAGTGACAGACCAAAAAGTAAAATAGAAGGTGCACAATGGCAGTAGGTAATAAAGAATCTGTGAAAGTATCATGGCATTTTTTTTCAGTGGCATATGCATAGGAGGAGTTGCAGGTAAGTGATGGATATACTCTTCAATATCAAAGAAAGAATGGTGTCTATGTTTTGCTATGGGAAATCCAAACTATGTGCCCGATCAAAAAGTAAAGTAGGAGATGCACAATGGCACTATTTAAATATAAAATTTGTGAACTTGACGTAACGTCAAGAATTGCTACTCAACACTGTAACGTCAAAAGAACGTCCAATTAGATTGGACGGTGTCTAAAGTATAGTAAGATATCTTTAAAAAGAGAATAATTAAACACTTTAAGGTAATACAAAATGTAGTATAAATTAAAATGGTGGGCAGAACCTTGCGTACATGTACTTTTTTCAATTAGAGCAATTCATCGTGACGATTTATTTCTAATTTTCTGCCGTGCTGTTTTATTCTTTATGAGGTCACACTATGAAACTCTACAATAACATAGAATAAAAATTATAATTACATTTGTATATGTCATGATGTTCATTCGGGAATAAAACAACAGAAAAGGCAGTCTACGGAAAGAAAGACGTACCGATAGAAAATGAACACGTAAAATTTGATGGTTACGAAAATTCGTATATAAAGTCATACGAAATGCACAAAGACGTACAACTCCGAATCATGTATTATAAGACGCCAGACGTCATTTTAGCCAGTTTAGTGGACATTTCCGCAAGACATTACCTTAAAAAATCAGCTGAAACCTCCATTTACCTAAAGTAATTTTTAAGTACTTTCCACTGATAAAGATAATAATTTTTGCCTCTTGAATTCGGAATAAATCAATAAGCTATCAACAAATACACTTTTGATATGACGTCATTTACGCATCGGGACATATTCGCAGGACATGGGTGATGTTTGATATGTAATGGAAATTAAATATTTCTGTAATGCATTTATTGAAAAAAATGGAGAAATTATTCAGAAATTTCTATACATGTTTAAATCCACTAGACAAAACGAGAAAGTACGCACTTATTACACTGGAAAGGAGTTAAATTAGATGAAATATATGGAAATAACGAATAGTGTTCAAGCTAATATTAATTAAGTAATACAACATAGTAGCAGCATATCAAACACGGATCTCCAAAACATCAGAGACAGGATAAGGGGCCATGGAGGATCCTCTGCCGACCGCCACACCCTCCGTGTGCTCCTTGTCATGGTCAGGAAATAACGCCAAAAAATCTGCCGACAATTTACCGTGTAAATAATGGCCTAACAAGAAGTATGAAAAACTTCAGTCGGCCTTTGACTTAATAAAAAATTTTAATCGCTGACAAGGTTATTGTATCGACCAAAGAACTTACGAAATGATGATCCTAAAAGAGACTGCTGTTATTCTCCTATCATCAACTTGTTCGTCAATTTTACCTCATTTTAGAAATGTACATAAGTAGAGCATGCTCTCATGCATATCGAATAAACTGAGATATATAATCCCTGTATAAGGTAATAAAGGTATATTGCTGCATAAGTAAGGAAGTTGACGATTGAAAAAATCATCTCATTAAATTCTGACATAGATTCAGAAAACGGCATAAAATTGCATGTGACGTAATAACTGACAGCTTATTTCTTTAAAAATATTTTTTAAGGAATTTTTTTTATTAGTATTCAATGAAATATGTGGAGATAACGAACAGTATCCATCAAACAGTAAAAAAATGAGGGAGCAAACACAGACCTCAAAACATCAGTGGTGAGAATCAGACATCAGGTGCCATGGAGGAGTGAGCATCCCCTGCCGACCGGTCACACCCGCCTTGTGCTCCTTGTCATGATCGGGAAATAACGGAAAAATCCGTGGACAACTTAGTTTGTAGATAATAGCCTAACAACCAATATGAAAAAGTTTGTCAGCATTTGACTTAATAATGAATTATTTGCTGATAAGGTTACTGTATTGACCATAGAACTTACGAAATGATGCCTTTAAACTAGACTGCTTAAGCAGGTGAGAAATACTGCTCCAAATCAATTATATTCAAATCAGTTTTTTTTTTTAATTATTCATATGTACGTACATGTATAGAATATAGAATAAAATATACGGAAATAACGAACAATATTGAAGCTCAAATGTACATTACGTAAATAATACAAAATTGGAACAGAGCAAACACGGAACTGAAAAAAACCCAGCTGCCATGGAGAAATGAGTATCACTTGCCGACCGGTCACACCCACCGTGTGCTCCTTGTAAAGAGCGGGAACTAACGGTAAAATCTGACGACAATCCTGTCTGTTTATATTATGATCTAAAAATAAGTATGAAATACCTAAGTCAGCAATTCACTCAATGTACGAGGGTTTTTCGATAAGTTCGAAGAGAGATGCGATAAAATTTATACTATGAAGTTTATGCTTACAAAATTTTTAAGGAACATAAATCAACAAAAATTAGAAAAATGCTGAAATGTTAGCTTGATACCTTAAATATTTTCCAAATTATCATAAAATAAAAAGACATTATAGTTGTTCACCCGGCACAATCCCCATTTAGTTGCATGACGCCATTGTTTCTCAAAGGTTGCTGATATTCTTGTTTCAGCATTTTGTCTGTCAATATTTTACATTGTTTTAGAAATTGTTCATTCACGGTCATGGTCTTGCTTATCTAATCTACTGGAAGAAATTAATTCAGTATGCAGGCGATGAAGGTGTATTACATGAGTAAGGGGAGCTAATGATTGAAAAGTCAAAGTCATATCATAAAGCTTGGTAGTTAGATAGCAGTCATGTCTATTTCAAGTAAAATATCTAAATATGATCAGATGCGTCTAACTCTGTGGTATTTTTTATTTCAAGCTCACCGGGTTGTATCTTACAGACATAAGAATGGAACTAACCATTGTTAATTGACAATACGTTATCGATATATCTAAATATCAATACAGAAGAATAGATGTTTTCATATTGCCCCTCAATATTTTAATACGTGATTGTGATATGGATCTGATAAATTTAATCCATTCTGACAAAGTGTCGACTTCTTTTCATGGAAGTCCTACGTCAGTTGAAGGATCGGGGTTCCCTATATTTAGGACCTGTTAAAATGAGTGATCTAAGGTCCTCATTATTAACTAAATTTACTTGGTTTCTCTGGTTTCAGAGAAGAAGCTGAAAATGTTCAAATGTTAAAACAATACACACGATGGACGAAAATGGATAACAATAGGTCACCTGATTAACTCAGGTGACCTGAAAATGCTACTCTTCCTACTGGTCTGATTTCCAGTATAACTTGGCACACAAGTAGACTACACTTAATTACATAATTCTATATATCGGTTTTTTATTTCAATGAAAATTGTTGCCATGGTTACTAAAAATAAAGATTTCTAATACATCTAAAATACTCATAAAATGCTAGTCCAAATAGCTTTAGTTTGATTATAATACAAAGTGGCATACACGTAGACTAAAGTGAGATACACGATGGTTTTT